CGGAGGAGCAGGAAGGAGGAAATCTGGAACCCATAAGCTCCAGCTCCGTTCGCCTTCCCTTGCGCAGCCACATTGGTCCTCCCCTGCTCCTCCCACAGCTCCTCTCCCTATCAGCCATCCCCAACCTTCTCCCCACGCCCTCCTCTCTGCAGAGCCCAAAGGAAAAGCCAAGGAGTTCCTTGGAGAGCTCTGGAAGCTTTGGAGAGACTGGAGAGTGGATGATCCAAGGGGGTTGGGAGTTCCTTTCCGGCTTAGCGAGTCCGCCCAGAGATCTTCACCCTCAGAGCTCCTCACCCTCAGAGCTCCTCACCCTCAGAGCTCCTCACCCTCAGAGCTCTTCACCCCTCCAAGATCTCCTCAGCTTGAAGCCACCAAGGAGATGAAGGAGGAGAAGCCAAGCCCAGACTCCCCGGAGAGCAGCGCGGCCACCAGCGAAGAGGAGAGCGAACGGCACCACCACCACGGCCTGGGCAAACGCTGCCAGGGCAGGAGGGAGGAGCAGGGAGAGGTGTCCCCACAGGGCAAGAGGAGCAGGAGAAGCCCCATGGGCCAAGCCTTGGAGGAGGCCCAGGCCCAACGGGTGATCGCCAACGTGCGCGAGAGGCAGCGAACGCAGTCGCTCAACGACGCCTTCGCCGAGCTGCGCAAGATCATCCCCACGCTGCCCTCAGACAAGCTCAGCAAGATCCAGACCCTCAAGTTGGCTGCTAGGTATATTGATTTCTTGTACCAGGTCCTGCAGAGTGATCAGCTGGACCACAAGATCTCCAGCTGCAATTATTTGGCTCACGAGAGGCTCAGCTATGCCTTCTCCGTCTGGAGGATGGAAGGGGCTTGGGCCATGTCGGCGTCGCACTGAGCTGGGGTAGGTATGGGCATCATTTCTCTTCTTTCTGCAGATTTTGTGCCTCTCCCTAGCTCATTCCCACAGGGAAATCACTCTCCAGGGTCTCCTCTGGGGCTGAGAAAGGAAAGTTTTGACCCCAGGATTTAGAAAGCTTCTCCATGTGGAGGATGGAAGGGGTTTGGTTTGTGTCGGCGTCGCACTGAGCTGGGGTAGGTATGAGCATCACTTCCCTCATTCCTGCAGATTTTGTGCCTCTCCCTAGCTCATTCCCACAGGGAAATCACTCTCCAGGGTCTCCTCTGGAGCTGAGCAGAGCAGGGATAAATCCCAAGTTTTAGAAAGTTTCTCTATGTTGAGGTTGGAAGAGGTTTGGGTTGTGTCGGCATCGCACTGAGCTGGGGTAG